CATTCGAAGAACCCTAGCCCAGTTTTGTCTCCTACTCAAAAAATTCATTCCAACTACAAGACAGGTATGATGAAATACATATGTAACTCAGCATATCTATGTATATATTTTTAGTTATTTATTATCATTTTCTCTTTTGTTTAGCTTTTTGAATATCATTTGCTCAAATAATTTGTAATCGTAAGGGTTTCGATCATGAACGGAAGTTGATAATTGAGGTTCAATTTTCAATAGAGAGATTTTGGTTTTGGTAATATACTTTTTTTTGTATGTGTTGATGTAAAAAATCTGGAGGTTTTGGTAATATACTATTTGGTTTTGAGTTTTCTTTCGAACCTTGGGAGTGAGTTCATCTTTCTTCTTGTTTGTTCCTTAAAAGTCCAGATAGATCTATCTTTCTCATTATATTTTCCGAGATTGATTTTCTCTTCTATGGTTGCTTTGATTCACTTTTTCTTTTTAAAGTTGTCATTATTCTCTTTAAAGTTGACATTTTCCTTTGCCTTTTTCTTAAATTTCACAGACCTCTTTTTTCTATAGTTACTACGTCATAAATTTAAAATGATATATTCCGGTTTTAATAAACAAGCTCATGGATACTTGCGTGTCGATTCATTTCATAAAGAGTGATGAGCAAAAATACTTGTTCATTTCAAGAAGTTCACGTAATCTAAAAAGAAAATTAAGTTCTTAATTGCGTGAAATGTACATGGGAATGTTAGGTAGCATTTAATGCTTCTGAGAACCGACTCGTCCCGAGTTAAATTAGCTGGTATATTAACTATTGGGATTAATAGTAGTGCAATAGGGAGGGGATGTATGAATTATATGGCTGCGTCACAAGATGACTCTTAAGTTGCTTTTTTCAGAAAAGTTGAGCACCGAAGGGGGCAGCCTGTTCGCTTCCTCTGTACAACGAATCCAGTTTCAAAGTGTCCTAGAGAAATCCGTGAATCAAAATTGAAGATTTAGAAGAAGGATTCAAGTTCAAGTTTTGTACCTTTGCGGTGAGTTTTACAGCATCACTTTGGTATTTTTTGTTTGTTCAGACATGCTTAAATATGCAACTCGTGACGTCAGATTTGTAATGTCCAGTTGTTTTCCTTGTTTTCTCCCCTTTCTATTATCATTCCTTTTTTTTAGAATATTCTTTTTCACAGCAGTGTGAATTATACCAGCGTATCATTGTTCATAATTTGCTTATACTTTGAAGTAATCAATGGTCTACAATTCTACTAAATGGTTATACAATTGTTTGCCAGAAGAAAACAAGCTTTTACAAAATATCTACTTTCTGATGTAATTTTCATCCTTTCCTCACCTCTTCACATGACATTACAAGTGTGATTATTGTCAAGTTTATAATATAACCATTAAGAACCGTCTCTTTCTAATTTCTATGATCGTAGTCAAATAAAATATCTGTACCTTTGGCTTCTTTCTTCGTTTCTGAACTTTTCAAAGTCTAACAATGAATAAGATATATGATGAATGTTGTAATTGTAATTTTTTTATTGTCATCATTTCGAGTAGCATTGAGAGTTTTGCTACTTTCAAATTTCCATGTTCTCTTCTTAAAATGACTTTTCCTCACCAATACTTTTGTTTCTTGTATGTATTTGTTTATTTTTTGTTGGAGTATAACATGTACAGACTGCAGTAGTCCTCGTATGATACCGAGTTTGCACCTTTATTGAGTTTTAAGCTTATTACGGGGTTTATGGAATATTCTGATTCTTATTATATTTTCTAAGCTTAAGGTGCATTATTTTCTTTACGTGTTATATATGATGCATTCTCGAGATTCTAGTACCATGTTACCTCACAATACCTTATCTCTGGACTCTGGAGTTATAAGAATATCTTATTACTACGATCAAATCTATCCAAGATTATGGATGATAGGCTGATGTTCTTATTACATGTAATAACCGAGACAAGTGATGAAATATACTGTGTTTAATTTTCTTCCCTAATGACTGCCAGCAGCCCCACAAGTAACTTGAAAACATGTCAAACTCTAGCCTTCTTAAAACATGTTATATATGACAGTTTTGTGCTGTTGTGATCGGTGTACTGTGTCACATTTTTTCTGTTTTACCATTTTTTCGTTGCTAGTCTTTTAAAGGTAGCAACTACATGCAACCCTTCTAGGATTAGGAATGCTTAACTTGATTCCAGCTCTAGAAATTATAAGATGTTGATATCTTCATTATAGATTCCACAAAGGTTTATTATGATCCTTTATAATTGTTTTCTAATAGTTTCAGTCAAATGGAATATGGACCTTTTGGATACAAAAATAGGCACCTTTTTAATTGAAAAACTTGACTATGTGTTAACTGGCAGAAGATGCTTCGTGTTGTGTAATAAAAGCTTGTAAATCTGCTTTTGGAGGAGGACTGAGTTCGGAGGTGGACCCGAATATGTAGTTTGTAGGCTATTGTAGTTCCACTTGTAAACCAAATTATAATTTTTTTGAGATACGCGTCCTGATTCAAATGTTTCACAACCAGATACTTTGTATTTGTATTTCAAATGCTTAGATGTTTTATTTCTGACATCTGTTATCATGGGGCGACTTTCATTCAGAAAGACAAATTGTGACTGCAAATGGATCAGCAAGTAAATGGACAGCCCCAAGGTATGGGAGTGGTGGGTAGCTCTGCTCAGAATCCACAAAGTGTGACATCATATCAAGGTAACCAAACGACAGGTCCATCTGGCCCTTCATCAGCTGGGTCAACTCAATCTTCCCAAACAGCTGGACTCTTGACTTCTCCAGCTCAGATGGCACAACACCAACTAGCTTATCAGCACATCCATCAGCAGCAGCAACAGCAATTGCAACAGCAACTCCAGAGTTTTTGGGCAACTCAATATGAAGAAATTGATCAGGTAACAGATTTCAAGAACCATAGCTTGCCATTGGCTAGGATCAAGAAGATAATGAAAGCTGATGAAGATGTTAGAATGATATCAGCTGAAGCACCAGTTATCTTTGCCCGAGCATGTGAAATGTTCATTCTTGAGTTGACATTGCGTGCATGGAACCATACAGAGGAGAACAAAAGGAGGACGCTCCAGAAAAATGACATTGCGGCAGCCATTACAAGGACAGAGATATTTGATTTCTTGGTTGATATTGTACCGAGAGAGGATCTGAAAGATGAGGTATTTGCCTCAATCCCCAGAGAAAGCCTTCCTGTCGGGGGTCCCGCTGAAGGGCTTCCTTACTATTATATGCCACCGCATCCTGCTCCACCACTTGCAGCTCCAGGGATGTTTATGGGGAAGCCCGTGGATCCTGCCCTTTACGGTCAGCAGCCTCATTCTTATATGGGTCAGCAGATGTGGCCTCAGCAACCACCACCTCCTCCTCCAGATTCTTAAACAGGTGCTCAAACATGGATTGCTATATAGTTTATATATCCATATCTATTAGGAAGTACTGCTGTTCAGACAAGTAGTCAAGTAGTTGTGATTGCTTAATCCTTGTTTCTTGTTTTAGTGTAGTCTTACAATTCTATTTTTGGTCATGCTTCCATCATTTTAGTTGCTTGGGCAAGAAAATTTCTGCATGTTCCCTAAATTCCATTATAGTAAGAGATGATAGTTTTTACTGTTAATTGACGGTACAGACTAATCTTTTTTTGCAATCGCATTCACAGAAGTTATTGCTGAAAAGGGCTGTCTGGATTTCGAAAATGCCAGCTAGAGTACTTTGAAGTGGGAGTAGACTCTGAAAGTCCTCGAGATACACAAATGTGTATGGAGCAAGTATCCTAACGTTTATGTTGTCGAATATGGGCTTGAACTGCAGTTAACATGTCTTGTATGATATGACTGTGCTCATTTAAACTTTAAGTTACTATGTTATAACCAATGAATAAGTGTGGCACTGAGATGTAATTGTACTTTTTCTGGATCTTTCTTTTCTCTGGGTGTATTATCACATTCTAGGTTGTACCATTTGCTTATTTGTCTCCCTTTTCTGGGTCCTATTTTTGGTTGTTAGATTCGCAGAGGCAAAGAATCGAGCAATAGAAGCGTTGGGAAGCTGTCATCTATTGCTGAACATCATAGAAATCTATTAGATGCTCTTCCCAAGATAAGAAGACAGCTCTCTGCGCCAAATGCTCATTATGATTCTGGCTTGTGGTTCAATTGCCATCCTCTGAACCTTGAGTTCAAATTTTTGTCACAGAATAGGCTCCTTTAATTCGTATTCGGTCATTGAGCCTGAAAAAGTTCATATTTTTACGTTATCAACATGGAGAAAATAGAACATGAGAGGCTCTCTGCGGGGTGCCTCGCTGGCAACTTACGACAATCATAATAAACTTGATTTCGTAACTTAGAAATTTCATTTTTATTGTACACGAGAACGCCAACACACAATTCTGTTCTTATTGTACACGAGGGCAGGGCCGGGTCTTCATCACTGACTGACTGGACAGCGTTCCTCCAAACTGCAGAAAAGAAGAAAATACAGATTTTAGCATCCATACGTCGAAAATTACTAGGTTAATTTGAGGTAGCATCACCTTTCTCCCAGGCATTCAATCATATCAGTAGTCAGGGTAGATCTCTTTTTTTCAAATGCAAGCAACGCAGCTTTTCTCAGTATAGCCGACCCAGCAATGCACCCCAAAATTGTAGGACTCTTGCTACACCCCCCTTTAGCAGCGCAATGACGAGCCCAGGAGAGAGAGAGACAGCAATACTGGTTGATGGTAAAGCCAGAGACAACAATTTTAAGACTCTTGTCCTTGAGACAGATTGGACGTAATTTTCCCAGGCGGACACTATATGCGATCTTTTTGTTACCTCTAAGACATCTATCTTCCAACATTGAAGTTGCTAAGAGTAACATTCAGATAAAACAATCTATTATGTAGGATAAATTTGAGGAAGCTAAGCAAAGGGAGTAGTGCACGTACTGATATTTGCCAAAGGAATCGAGGAAAAAAATCCCATAGGTTCATTCCTTGGTTTAGAAAAAGCACACCAAAGAGTTCGACATGTTGATTATTTCCAAAAATACTCGAGTGCACAGAAAGAAGCGAAAAAACTCTTAAAACTCGATAAGTACGATGAATATTTGAGGACGCTGGAATGTGTGAAATATTTAGTGGAAACCAAGGTTTAAGAAGACGAAACAAAGTATTAAGCCGATTTTTTTTTATGAGGCGAAGCATAAACCTTACAAAAAAAAAAATCTAAGTAAAAGAATTATAAAATAATACAAAAATAAAATAAAATTGTAGCATATAATAAATATGATATATAGAGTCATTAGCATATTGAGATATAGTTCACCTAAAAACAGAAGATGTTTAGTAAAAAAAAAAAGCATTACAGAAGTTAGAAATCACTCCATTTGTAATGGAAAAAAAACTAAAAAAAAGCTTAATAGTCTGCACTATCATCACTATTACTAGTATCGTTAATTGCATCATCGTCATATCTAATTTCTCTATCATCTTCCTCTTCGTTACTCTCAATTTCTATAAAATCATCTTCCTTATCCACCAATTGCAATATGACTTTTTCCTTCCCTGTAAATTCAATAAAAAGCAATCTGTTAATATAATTTCATAAAAAAAAAAAAATTGAATTATAAAAGTATGAATACCTTTTCGTGAAANAATACCTTTTCGTCAAAAAGTTCTTTTCCTAATAGGTTAACTTTGTGTACGCGTAGAACTTTCAATCCCCTTCGATTGTGAAAAATTTAGACCTGAGTCGTCATCATTTACATCGCATGTGTTTGATGGAGCTCCAATATCATGACCTGCAATCCATTCATCATCGGATGTAACTTCATTTAGAATTAAAGGATCTTCACCTTCTTTAAGTGACTTCAATCGCCTGTGTCGATTTTTGAGCTTGTTATAATTGGTGTAAACCAAAGTATGCAGTTCTTTTATTGTCAAACGATTCCTTCTCTTAGTATGCACTAAATTAAATGTACTCCAATTGCGCTCACATGCAGAAGATGAGCAAGACTTAAAACTCTCGTTGCAAATTTAGTTAGTTTTGGAGTATCAACGTCAAATTGAGTCCACCAAGCAACTAGATCAAAATTAAGAAAAAAAATGTTACATGCAACTACTAAGTATATGCTAATCAAATTAAAAAAAATAAATGAATACATTGAAAATAAAATTCAAATTGTATATATAATGTATAAAAATGTATATATTGATAATTTAATACATACCAGGAGACCCTTTAGTGAAAGTTAATTTTGTTTGTTCGAGACCAAAGAAATTCTGTTTTTCAACAAATTGGTCTAACTGGAGATCTGCTCTCTCCCTTTCAGTTGGATCGAAAATGAGTCTCACCATACAATTATACAAACCTACCATAACTTCAGAATGCCTGAAAAAATTATCGGCATATTAACAACGAGAATTCAAATAATAAACAGCAGCATGTAGGTCCCGATGCAATTGAAACTCCCACTTTTCATCTATGATATTCCAAATTTCCTTGTACGCAACTTCATCTTCACCTAAATTTTTCGCTATTTGTTCCTTTGCATTATCCATGGCTCCATAAATAAATCACATTGCTGGCATTTGTTTAGAATCAACAAGTCTTAAAAGTGATTGATCCCCTAAACACCAGAAAGCCAAAAAAAATTATCCTTCAAAATGATTATCCTAACTTGTTTCCCTTCCGCTTTCATAGGCCAAGGAGAATTTACCCACTCCTTCGAAGTGAACATAGCTCGTAGTGAGTTTCTCAACTTATAGATCCTCTGTGAAGTCAAGTAGGATGTAGCAAATCTCGTAGCACCCGGTCGAACTATATCCTTCTTTGCAAATTTTCTCATTAATGCCAACACACATTGATGATTATAAATAAAATTACTGACATTTTTAGCCTTTATCAATGCATGTTTGTGTTGCAGCAACTCCCCAAGTTTTTCAAGCATTAAGTCAATGCAATGTACAGCACAAGGAGTCCAATATAAATGCTTATGTCTTTCCATCAATTTCCTCCCAGCAGCTTTGTATGTACTTGCATTACAGGCCACAACTTGAACAACATTTTCTTCACCAACTTCGTCTAATAATTTGAACATGATATCCGCATCTTTAATTGCATCAGAAGCATCAATAGATTTTAGAAACACCGTTCCATGTGGATTATTCACAAGAAAATTGTTCAAGCTTCTATTTCTCATGTCAGATAATATAGAAACTTTAGTTGTAATCCATTTCGCCTTTACATCGTCAACTATTTTCCCCGTCGATTCTTCTTCCTCTTTAAGAATCCATGTCTGGAGTTCGTACATTGTAGGGGGTTGAAAATCTCTACCATATGAACCAAGAGCCCGACATCCCTTCAATATCCCCATATCATTGTCAAATCTTCATACAACAGTACACCGTACCCAGAATTATGCTGTTTCACCATAGCCAGCTTTCTTACAGAAAACAAAAGTGTAACTAGCCAAATTTGTTAAATAATCATCTCATTACTTAATTTTTGTCTTTTATTATAAGATGGGAAATAACCATCGAATGGATCCATCTTGGAAGTATGGAAAAGAAATTGAAAAGACGGGAGGTAATAAAAAGTCATATGTCTACATTGAGTGTATGTTTTGCAAGAAAACCATTACTGGAGGGGTGAAGTGGATGAAGGAACACTTAGCATGTACTCACAAAAATGTAGTCCAATATCCTGGAGTTCCTGTGGATGTTAAACAAGAGATTGCAGAGTAAATGAATGCTAAAGCATGAAAAGATGCCTATCACAACAACGATTTGAAGATATGGTCAAACTTAGTTTTTATTGTGAGAAGAATGATAAAGAAAAAGATTCTATGAGAGGCATTAGAAGACTATAGATAGGTTTGTGTCGAACATTGGTGGTGATGATGAGACACATCCAAAGATGAGTGCAGCGAAGATGAAAAAGATGCGAAATAGTGTCTGTTTAGATGTTGGCAGATTCTTCATTGAAAATGCAATACCTTTCAATGTGGTTGAATTTCCTTCGTTTATCAGCATGTGTCAGGCTCTTGGTTCATATGTAGAGGTTTTCAGCCCCTTACAATGTACGAACTCCGGACATGGATTCTTAAAGAGGAAGAGGAATCGACGAGAAAAATAGTTGAAAATGTAAAGGCAACATGGATTACAACTGAACTTTCTATATTATCTGACGGGTGGTCTGACATGAGAAATAGAAGCTTGAACAATTTTCTTGTGAATAATCCACATGGAACGGTGTTTCTAAAATCTATTGATGCTTCTGATGCAACTAAAGATGCGGATCTCATGTTCAAATTATTAGACGAGGTTGTTCAAGAAGTTGGTGAAGAAAATGTTGTTCAAGTTGTGACCTATAATGCAAGTGCATACAAAGCTGCTGATGGAAAGACATAAGCATTTATATTGGACTCCTTGTGCTGCACATTGCATTGACTTAATGCTTGAAAAATTTGGGGAATTGTTACAACACAAACATGCATTGATAAAGGTTAAAAATGTCGGTAATTTTATTTATAATCATCAATGGGTGTTGGCATCAATGAAAAAATTTGCAAAGAAGGATATAGTTCGACCGGGTACTGCGAGATTTACTACATTCTACTTGACTTTACAAAGGATCTATGAGTTGAGAAACTCACTACGAGCTATGTTCACTTTGGAGGTGTGGGTAAATTCTCATTGGGCTAGGAAAGAGGAAGGGAAACATGTTAGGGGAATCATTTTGAAGGATAATTTTTTTTTTTTTTGCCAAGACCACAAATATCCTAGTTAGTGTTTTAAGACTTGTTGATTCTAAACAAATGTCAACAATGTGTTTTATTTATGGAGCCATGGATAATGCAAAGGAACAAATAGCGAAAAATTGGGGTGAAGATGAAGCTGCGTACAAGGAAATTTGAAATATCGTAGATGAGAAGTGGGAGTTTCAATTGCATCGAGACCTACATGCTACTGCTTATTATTTGAATCCTCGTTGTCAATACGCTGATAATTTTTCCAGGCATTCTGAAGTTATGACGGGTTTGTATAATTGCATGGTGAGACTCATTCCNAGATCTCCAATTAGACCAATTTGTTGAAAAACAGAATTTATTTGGTCTCGAACAAGCAAAATTAACTTTCATTAAAGGTCTCCTGGTATGTATTAAATTATTCATATATACATTTTATACATTATATACACAATTTGAATTTTATTTACAATAAATTCATTTATTTTTTTTTAATTTGATTAGCATATACTTAATAGTTGCATGTAACATTTTTTTCTTAATTTTGATCCAGTTGCTTGGTGGACTCAATTTGGCGTTGGTACTCCAAAACTAAGTTTGCAATGAGAGTTTTAAGTCAGTCTTGCTCATCTTCTGCATGTGAGCGCAATAGTACATTTAATTTAGTGCATACTAAGAGAAGGAATCGTTTGACAACAAAGGGATTGCATATTATAACGAGAAGCTCAAAGATCGATATAGACGATTGAAGTCACTTAAAGAAGGTGAAGATCCTTTAATTCTAAAGGAAGTTCCATTCGATGATGAATGAATTGCAGATCACGATATTGGAGTTCCATCAAACACATGCGATGTAAATGATGACGACTCGAGTCTAAATTTTTCACAATCAAAGGGGATTGAAAGTTCTACGCGTACACAAAGTCAACCTATTAAGAAAAGAACTTTTTCACGAAAACGTATTCATACTTTTATAATTCAAATTTGTTTTTATTTATGAAATTATATTAACATATTGTTTTATTGAATTTACAGGGAAGGAAAAAAGTCACATTGCAATTGGTGGATGAGGAAGATGATTTTGTAGAAATTGAGAGTAGTGAAGAGGA